AGTCTATGTGTACGGAGTGGCAATTATAGCTACGTTAAGAAAATAAACACGTGTTTTGTGTGGGAGTGCTGAGATTTGTGAGTGATCAACATCCCCGGGTGATCAACATCCCGGTCAGCTAGCTTAATGCGGGACATTTCCGTTTTCGCGCTAACTCGAAGCAGCGACCAAACTTCTGACTCAATTCACGAGTCTCTATCAATTTTCCGCCTGCCCAGCAACACGTTTCGATCCACGCGTTGCACTGCTCCACCTAACTATTTCGGTCCACTGATATCGGACGACTTCAAAAAATACTCGATTGGGGACCATATTCGCGTCACAACACTTCATATTGCCCCACCACGTTGGAGCGTCTGACACCTGACTGGCCACATTCCACTTACAAAAGTCGACGACAATAAAAACATCACATCGCCATGTCTGAAACACCTGCTGCAGAGCCAGCGCCGGCACCTGCTGCGGCAGTAGCACCATCCCAAGAAAGCGTACCTGCAACAACAAATGGCGAAGCCGCTCCTGCCACAGACGCGCCTAAAAAGCTCTCGCCAGCGGAGTTGAAAAAGCAAAAGCAAGCCGAGAAGCAAGCAAAACGAGCCCAAGCCAAAGCCGCGGGTGGCCCACCAAATCAACAACAAGGACCATCCAAGGACAGCCAAAAACAGCAGAAGGACCCAAAGCAAACATCAAAAGACGCTCAATCAAGACCAGGGCCAGTACGGCGACGACCATCGCAAGCCAATGCACCGGTTTTGAAGGAACCGGAAAAAAGAGCGAAGAAGGACAAGGAACCAAAACAGACTGGCCTCTTCTTCGGTCATCTCTACAGCCAACCAAAGCAGCAATCCCTTGTCGGTGCGTCAAAAGATGTACACCCTTCAGTCCTCGCGCTTGGCCTACAGTATAGCAGCTATGCCATATGTGGTAGTACGGCACGTATGGTGGCCATGTTGCTAGTTTTCAAGACAGTCATCGAGGCCTATCAAACACCTCCAGGAAACAGTTTAGCCCGGCATCTGACCAGCCACCACCTTGGTCCTCAGATCGAGTTCCTAAAGAGCTGTAGACCGCTTAGCATTAGTATGGGAAATGCTATCCGATGGCTCAAGGATAGTAAGTTGACATCTCACATTAAACTAACGTAATAGGCACGGCTCAAAACGCTCAATATGAGCATCAGAACTTATCAACTAGTAATTCATAAAATACTGACTCCTTCCAGTCATTATCAAAATAGACCCTGCAACGCCAGAGAATGAGGCGAAGCGAGATCTGATCGAGGAGATTGACATATTCATCCGGGAACGTGTCACAGCCGCTGACAGGCTCATCCGCGACCTAGCCGCTACCAAGATCCAAGCCGGCGATGTCATTCTGGTCTATGCCGCATCCTCGATAGTCGAACAGACTATCATCCATGCTCACCAATCTGGCAAACCCTTTACAGTTATTGTGGTTGACTCAAAGCCATTGTTTGAAGGCAAGAAGCTGGCACGGAAGCTCGCAAACCACGGTATCACCGTGCGGTACTATCTCATCACAGGAGCCTCACACGCAGTTAAGGACGCAACAAAGGTCTTCCTAGGTGCGCACGCGATGATGTCAAACGGTCGCCTCTACTCGCGCGTTGGCACAGCTCTCGTATCTATGCTCGCATACTCCCACTCACTACCCGTCATCGTACTCTGCCAGTCCGTCAAGTTCACCGAGAAGGTGGCGCTAGACTCCATTGTCGGCAACGAAGTCGCACCTGCCGAGGAAATTCTATCTGAGGCCGAGCGTCGGGACCTTCTTCCCCTCAAGTCACGTCTTCCAACATCCAAGAACGACGAAAAGTCGTCATCGGAAGAGGCACCCGCCGATACCACAGACGTGTTGAAGTGGATCGACGACGCGAAGAACCTTCATCACCTCCAAGTTCTCTACGATGTCACGCCTGCGCAGTACATCAACATGGTCATCACCGAATACGGAAGCTTGCCGCCTAGCTCGGTTCCCGTGGTTCACCGCTTGAGTACGAACATATGATCCTGTCCAGCGCTTTCTTTTTTGTGTTCAAAGTACTTCCTTAAGCAAGTGCTAACATTGATGGTTCAGGAACTGAAGAGCAGGAGACGATGCCTACTAAGAGGGGTGTTCGTCAAGCTTCCGGGTGGTAGAGAGGTGTTGACAAGAGGACTGCAGGGTCAAATAGATCAATGGCAGTCACGGTATTGGTCTCCTTGTCAGTGTTACGAGTAGACTAAGATATGATAGGTACGGTTTCATGAGAGAATCAACATCTTACTCCCACCTCTTTCCATTCATTCAGCAGTCATTCTACACGACTAAAAGCTACTCTAAATGCATCTAACACAGCGTATTAACTTGCGACAAGTCCGAGATGTATCAAGATCAAACAGCCATCGCCGCGATCTCGGATTCAAGATCCGCCATCTGCCTTCTCAACTCAGCAAGTCGCTCCTGCTTGTCCGCCGTCTTACCATATTGACTAGTGGCAACCGCACCGCAACCCTTCTTCCCCTCCTCTCTCATCATCGGAAACGCCAGCACCTCCTTGATCGTATAGTTATTCGTCAGAAACATCATAATACGATCCAGCCCTGGACCACACCCAGCCGTCGGCGGCATCCCATACTCCAACGCCTTGACAAACTCCTCATCAATTCCGTGGGCTTCGTCATCCCCTTGAGCCTTCTGCATCGCTTGCTCCAGGAAACGATCGCGCTGTTCGAAAGGATCATTGAGTTCGCTGTAGAGATTGCAAATCTCAAAGCCACATACAAAGGCTTCTGCGCGTTCTGTGAGACCAGGAATCGAGCGATGCGTCTTCGCGAGAGGCGACATGAGCTTAGGGTGATTCATGATGAATGTGGGGTTCGTGATGCGCGATTCAATGTATACGCCAACCAGCTTGTCGAGTAAGCGGGCGTTTGTGTGTGGGGGCGAACAGATGATGTTATGATCACTCAGGATTTTGAGTAAGAATTGCCGGCTGTCTTCCGTATGAAGTTGAGATGGTGGAGGGAACTGAACCTTGCAGGCGTGTTCAAGCGCTGTCATCATGTCAATGCGCTCCCATGGCCCCTCCCAGTTGATCACCTTCGCTTTTCCAGTCTGGCTTGTGAACGTGGTGACATAAGTACCAGTCACATTCTTCACCAGTTCAGAGATCATTTCTTGCGTCACTTGCATCATTACCTCATAATCTGCATCCGCCTGGTAAAATTCGCAGCTTGTAAACTCGGGGTTATGCGTTAGATCCATATCTTCGTTGCGAAAGACCCGTCCGATCTCGAATACACGGTCGATGCCGCCGACAACGAGAGGCTTGAGATGCAGCTCTGTAGCCGTACGCAGATACATGTCCTGCTTGAGATCATTGTGGTGCGTGATGAAAGGCTTGGCTGCTGCGCCGCCGGCTTGTTGGCAAAGGATGGGTGTCACGACTGAGATGTAGCCGCGGTTGCGGAGGAAGGTGGTGATGTATGACTCCATGGCATCCCAAGTACGCAGCATATCGCGGCTGCGGCGGTTGGTGATGAAGTCAAGCGGTCGGTCACGATGGCGTGTCTCAGCGTCTGTGAGCGTCTTAGGTAGCATGTGCAGGCTTGGTGCTAGGAGAATGACGCTTTGCGCGAAGAGCGAGAGTTCGCCTACAGGTCGATTGCGTGGCGCTGTTCGGCATGGACGGCCAGTTATGCCAATCTGGTCTCCTCTGGCCAGGTGCTCGTGTTGCTGCTTGTAGGCTTCGAGGTCTTCTGATGAGGTGACCTGACATACGACTTGTATCTCTTCCTCTCCAACCTGAACCTCGTAGAAACGCAGACGCTCTCCTGCGCTACGGATCGTAACGATACGACCGCGCATTGTATACTCAACGTCTCTCAGCTGTTCGCCAGTCGCGATGGACCTATGCCGCTCACGGAACGCTCTAAGGTCCGTGAGATTGGGGATGAACGAAGAATAGAGGCCATTTTTGTGAGCCGCCCTACGCAGATTCTGGACCAAGATAGAGCGGTTCTCGTAGTACTTGTGGGGTGGGAGCGTTTCTTCTTGGCCACGTCTTGCTCGCTGCTTACTTGCAGTTGTGATAGTGCCGTTGGTAGCCATAATGATTGAATGAATATTTCTGAACGCGTTTTATCTGCAAACTGACGAGTATTGCACAGTGGATCGTAAGAAAAAGATGCTTCCGAGTTATGTTGTACTTCCAGATAAATATTGGAGTTCTTAAGTAAGGCGAACCTCAACTCCAGTCATCGCTTGTGAGTCAACCACTGCATCCTTCGTTAACATTTACGTTATAGGGTAGCACCGAACATGCAAGTACATCCTTCTAATATGTCTCCCTGCAGTTAGGCCTCCTTGGCTACACGTACTGTTAGCTTAATAACAAGAAAAAGCACCAATTAACTATGGAGGTCGTTCACCGAGATATCCCGGGAATGTGCTCCTAACCAAGCACAACAACTTGATGCGCTAATTCTGTCATATTTTATAAACCTCCACTTCTACGAATTGTCTTTCATGGATCGCAATGCTCCCATGACATCGATAGGCTGGGTTTTGCCAGTAACCTTTTGAAGCTCAGGGTCATCCACACGCATGAACACGTTGTGCTTCTTCTCGTCACCAATTGTGAACTTTCCTTGTGTCTCCTTGTTTTCTTGTGTGAACGTGTCAAGTTTCTTGATAGCGTCATTGTTCAGTACACTCTTTGCAAACTTGACGTTGCCCTTTGTGTATTCGTGTCCAGGGTAGACCTTCGTGTCGTCAGGAAGCGCCGCTAGAGTCTCGTTCAAAGCCTTGTGCATCTGCTCTGGAGTGCCTTCGAAGAATCGTCCGCAGCCACCGATGAATAGTGTATCTCCAGTGAATACTGCGCGATCGTTTCCATCTTCGAAGTAGAAGCATATGCTGTCTTGCGTATGGCAGGGTGTGTGGAGGGCTTTGACATTGATAGACCCGATCTTGAAGGTGCTGTCGTGGCTTGGTGTTTCGGACACTTTATCGCAGTCGCGACCACCGATTACAGGTAGGCCGAACGCTTTGATCTGGCAGAGCCGTTAGCTAGTGGCACTCGAAGACTCATGTGGTGGGTCTTCACTTACGACATCTACATTACCTCCCGCATGATCACGGTGGCTGTCAGGTGTGTTAGCAGAGTCGAGTCGTCAGGAGTAATCACCCTACTGATGTGTGTTAATGATCTTGGTTAGCTTGAGGCCGCCAGTGGTTGTTTGCTCTCGCAAAACAGGTAGAACTCTATAGCCCAGTCAGTTGTGTGCTTACTTCCTTGGCCTTCTAACATACTCCGGAGGATTGGCAGGGTCAATGATAACAGCTTCCTTAGTCTTGTCATCGGACACCAAGTAGGCATAGTTGTTGCCCGAACCCTCCCCTGACCAGTAGGTTAGATCGCATCCGACGTTCAAAATTCTCCATCAGGGTGCTCGTACACATGGGAATTGATTGGATATGCATGGCGCGTGCTGGTATGGACGATGGCTGCTTGGCGTTAATTGCTGTTTTCGATGACTCGATCAGAACTGTAGGCAATTACCTTGAAAGCGGGTCGAGCAAGTGATACTAGTGGGTATCTTCTAATGGCTGCAGTGAATAGGCTCATAAGGAAGGTGCAGAACAGAAATTGGCGGAGGCTTGGGAATGTCATGAAGCTTCGAGATGACTGAGGTGATGACGTTACTGCTTGTTATCGATAAGGTATGCCACTAGTCACGTGACCGGTGGCCCACTTCCGCAACGCGTCAAGCTGCATCTGTCAAACGCGTTCGCTTCAACTATGGAGTCCACTCAGAACACAACACACTCTAAACATTGGCGTATGCCCAGGATACAAGCACAGAAGCACGTGTCGAAGTGAGAACGGATCAAATTTAACATATAACACAAGACTACGGATACAGTCGACGAACGCCTAAAGGCTAACCCAGCCACGCCATTTCGATGCTCATATGCAATCATAAAAGTCGTCAAACATTACAGCAACCTCCCTACAACAACGACTTCAGTCTCTTCTGCAACTCCGGCTTTTCGGACGATCCTTCACCCCTCAGACGCTGTTCTTGAGGATCGTGCAATGGGTCTCGAGTTACTGTGGCCCTGATCTTCTTGCCGAAATACTCAATCTCCACAGACTTTCCTTCGCTTACATTGCTCGGAAGCCATGCATATGCGACAGGCTTGCGTACCGTGTAACCAAAAGCGGCGCTGGTAACATAACCAGCTCTTTCGCCTTCCACGAAGACTGGCTCTTTACCCAGAACCATGGATCGTCCGTCATCGACAGTCAGGCATCTAAGTCGCTTAGATGCTGCCTTCCTAGAAAGCTGCTCTAGTGCCGCTTTACCAACGTAATCCGCCTTCTTGCCCATCTGGATCGCGTACGTCACGCCAGCCTCCCATGGGTTGTGCTCAGAAGTCATGTCTGAACCTGAGGCTCGGATACCCTTCTCGATTCGTAGTCCATTGAAGGCGGCGCGACCTGCAGCAACTAGACCGTGGGGCTTGCCCGACTGGAACAATAAGTCCCAGAGGCGCAGGCCATATTCAGGTGTGGTTTGAACCTCCCAACCGAATTCGCCGACAAAGGACTTTCGGAACATCGTGACGGGAATTCCAGCTATGCTCGTCTTCTTAACACCCATATACGGCAAGCCTTTGTTGCTGTAATCATCCGAGCTGATTGTGCGGATAACGTCCCCAGCGCGAGGACCCCAAAGACCAAGACAGCATGTACTGCCAGTGACGTCTCGTACCTGAGCCCACTGACTAGGTGTGTGCTTTTGTTGACGACGTGCTTCGCGTGCGAGGTAGGCAAGATCGGTCGCAGTGTTGGCGCCTACTTGGAACAGGTCTTCCTCGATCCTGGACACAAAAATATCGCTTAGTACGCCGCCGTGGCCATTGACAAGGAGAGTATGGGTGATAGCGCCAGGCTGCTTGGAAACATCACTGGTCGTCAATCTCTGAAGCAGGTGGACAGCACCAGGACCGGAGACCTCGAATCGATGGAAAGTAGTCATATCGTACAATGCTACTGCGTTTCGTGTCTTCCAAGCCTCGGCCGCAGCGATTGGCGAGTAGAACTTGGATGACCAAGCATCGCGATCGACCGGCTTCCATTCATCCGGCAAGGTGCTGACCAGATCCGCATTCGCTTCATACCAGTGTGGACGCTCCCAGCCTCCTACTTCTAGGAAGAAAGCGCCTTGCTCCTGTTGACGAGTATAGAACGGGCTGACGCGAAGGTTTCGAGGGTTCTCTTTCGGTGCGAGGGGGTGGATGATGTCGTAGATCTCGACGAAGTTCTGTTGTGATGTCTCGCTGACGTATTCTGGGCTGAGCTGTACTTCCTCGAATCGTGTTAACTCGCACTCCGCAATGTCGACAGTCGAACGACCCTCCGTAAGGGTCTCTGCGACAGCTCGAGCTACACCGGCCGAATGTGTTACCCACACAGCTTCGGCGACCCAGAAGTTATCGAGGTTGGGTGCTTGTCCGACAACGGATCCACCATCTGGTGTGAAAGAGAAGATGCCGTTGAAGCCGTCAGCGATCTCAGTCTCGCGGAGAATGGGAAGCAGTTCTTTGGTAGCTTTCCAGGCCGGCTCAAAGTCTTCTGGTGTGAAATCTAGGCGAGAAGGCATATGCTTCTCATCAACGTGTTTCGGTGTTACACCCAGATCTGAGGCCTTGACAGGCATCGGCCGGTGACCATAGTAACCAATTCCATACTGCTCCCCATGCTCTCGGTAGTATAGATCTTGGTCTTGGTGTCGCAATATGGGCAACTCGGCGTTCATGGCGTTGATCTTCTTGTTGACTTCGCGGTTCTGGAGGCCTGGTACAGCCGTAGTCTTCGCATACTGGTGCCCTAGAGGAAGAAGAGGGACCTTGAGTCCAATCATGGCTCCTATCTCCACACCCCAGAAACCAGCACACGAAACAACTATATCCGCCGGTACAGAACCATTGTTCGTTGTCACACCGGTGACCTGACCGTTCGCTTGTTCGATTCCGGTAACGACGGTATGCTCGAGGTATTTGACACCCGCGTTGCGTGTGTTTTCGATAAGTAGCTGTGTCGCGCGAGCTGCTAGTGCCAAGCCATCGCTTGGAATGTGAAGACCACCTAGCACCATATCCTTGTTAAGGAGAGGGTACTTCTTGAGACATTCTTCGGGGCTGATCAAGTGCGCTTCGATGCCCCATGATTGTGCGTATCCGTGTTTGCGCTTGAGTTCCTCCAATCGTTCTGGGATTGTCGCGATCTCCAAGCCACCCAACTGGTTGAAACAGTTCTGTCCGTCTTTCTCGAGCGCTGAGAACTTCTCGACGGTGTATTTGGCGAGTAAAGTCATCGTTTTGGAAGGGTTCGTCTGGAATACCAGGCCAGGCGCATGTGACGTTGAACCACCAGGCATGCTCAATGGGCCCTGCTCAATCACCGTGATGTTGTTCCATCCTCGTGAGACCAGCTCATCAGCGAGGTTGGTGCCGACGACACCGGCGCCAATAATCACAACACGCTGGGAGGTCGCCATTGCAAAAGAGTTGAAGAGTATAGGTTTGGATAATTGGTTCCCAAAGAATGTAGGAGGAACTCCTCTTAAGGCTGTTTGCGCTCGCGATAACGGACCATTTCACTGTGCTCTGCCATCATAGAAGCCGAAACTAAGCGCAGCGCAAACTCCAATTGGCAAAATAATTCCCATGGCGAATCCAACCGCAGAGTCATGCACGAAATCAGTCCACCGCCCCGCATGGGATACTTACGACATTGGTGGGGAAGATGCCAGTCGTGGATGTAGGGTCCTGATGTCCATTTTGGGGTTAGTAACGATCGAAGAGGCAAACCGTCTCGGGACTACATAGCCTGCCGCAACCCCGCCTCGCGTGTGCGCAACACCATCCCATCCTTCTCACGATAATTGCACCTACGAGCATTCCATCATGTTCGACATCAGAGTCTGAGTCAGGTAAGTACGCGTAGCATGGAGAGCTTAGTATGCTTTTCCCGTCAGCTGGACTTCAATGGTTGTCCTGCCGCGAATACCATCATACCTCACCCGCTGCAATTTCATCATTATGACAAAGACGAGCACCTGCTTTGAAAGTGAGGGTGATTTACCGCCATCAGCCTTGCGACAGCCTATCGCTAGCCAAAAATCCGGTATGCGAAGTATCCCACCATTGCGACAAAAGCCATGCGCCAACAAATCTCCCGGATCCGGCCTCAATCCTACAGGGCTTTTCGAGAGCACCAAGCCCATGGATCAGCATTTGCACCGCACGATGTGCAAGACGACAGGGAAAAATGGATCATAACGCCAACCCATTGCTGTCGTCCCTATCGCCCACACCCAACTTCTAAGACAGTCTCAGGACAGCTTTCGCAAAAGGCTTACCTGAAAGGTCTCTTTCTGAGCACGTTCTTCAGCATATCGATGCTGCGAGACAAATGGCAGCTTATATCGTCATGTCGCCCTAATACCTCAAGCGCCAGAGCGAGCCCAACGTGACACTGCGCTGCGCTGCCATCACAATTCGGGAAAATTTACGACAGCCATTGCCGAAAGTATCCAAACCCTCCCGACCATCACTCGTATGGCTAGGAGGGGTAGAGACATGCGAGATGTTGTAGTAATCTCCCGCTTACGACGGCGCTGGCATCAAGACCAGTGACGCTTTCCTGCCGTACACGTTGCGCAGCTCGTGTCGCTTCACTTCGCACTCGTCGGCGCCGCGTCGATAGTACGTGGGCTCCGATATTCGCACGACAATCTTAGACAGAGTATCACGAGCTGCATTCCATCAGTCGCTATCAGCTGCGACACCGAGTCTAAGCCCGACAGCTCATCTAGATAACATCGCTATCTCGATGATAACAGCTGCGATCAACATCGTCAAGAAAATCTTCGATAAGAGCACGATAGCCTTTGGATAATACGACCGCAATAGTTCCGCAAGAACTTGCTGGTGGGAGTCTGAAGGTGCCTTGGGCTGGCGTCCCTTGTCCGTATTTGGAAATCAGATCCATTCAAGTCCGTGCCAACAAGAGGGGCAACGACGAGAACGGTCTATACGTTCGGTCACCATTATCTTTGCCTGCAGTCAATGCACAGTCAATCAAACTACTCTGGGGTAATACGACGCCATCCACTTACATGACGCCGTTGAGCTCTAGCCCTGCTTTCTAGAATGTTGGTTTGATCACGATGGTAGCTCGTGCGTTAACGGAGGGACGTGAAAAATAGGTCAGAATGTGTGGCGCCTGACGGTCACCTGCAGCCGAATTACGTTCCCACATCCCACTGGCTATCGCTCCCTGGGTGCGAATGGAAGCCATAACCCCATGGGGACTTAGTCGTTTGTGTTACTTGATAAGAGTGAGGAGGCAGAGTATTGGAAGACAGTATAATAATGCTTGCGACGTCCTCACACTGAGCTCCATCTTCTCGAGTATACTTGCACAGCACCCAAGTGACCACCTTCGACTACTCTTCGCACCTCACTACTTCACACAGAGTACAACTATACATTCTTCCAACACACATCTTTAACAATGGTCGGGTCACTCCTGAGTTATTTTGGGTTCGGCGGCTCAGCCGGCGCCCAGGCGCCACCAGAGAACCAAGCTGTACGGGCCTTACCCGCCAACTGGTATACCTCTGAGGAGATGTACCAGCTTGAGCGACGCGCTATCTTCACCAGAAGATGGCTCATTCTTACGCACAAGTCAAGACTCGCAAACCCCGGCGACTTCCTCCGCTACAACGTCGCCAACTACGACATTGTTGTTTCCAAGGACCGATCTGGCGAGATTAACACATTCCACAACGTATGCAGACACCGCGCATACCCCGTCGTCGAGAAAGACGGTGGCAACGCAAAGATCTTCTCCTGCAAGTACCACGGCTGGTCGTACGGTTTGAACGGCAAGCTTGCGAAGGCACCGGGCTACCAGGAGCTTCAGAACTTTGAGAAGGCCAAGAACGGTCTTTTCCCTATTCACACCCGCATTGACCGCAATGGCTTCATCTGGATCAACATGGATGCGAAGAAAGAGCCTGAGGTGTCCTGGGAGTCACAGTTCGACCACGTCGACGAACAGACAAGATTCGACCAATTTGACTTCAACGACTACGAGTTCGACCACACATGGAACCTTGATGGTCCATTCAACTGGAAGATTCTCGCAGACAACTTCAACGAATGCTACCACTGCAAGAGCACACATCCCGATCTCACAACAGGTCTGATCGACCTCGAGAGCTACGATGTCTACTGCTCAGCCGACCACATCCAGCACGACCCCAAGACGCCCCAAGACCGCAAGGATCTTGGCCAGGAGATCTGCTCCACATACTGCTTCCCCAACGCTTCCTTCACTGTCACAAAACACTTCCTCTTCATGCAGAAGTTCATGCCTAAGTCGCCCACTGAGTCCGTTATGTACTACGAGGTCTGGAAGAACAAGCACTCCAGCCAGGAGGACTTCCTTCTCATCAGTGACACCTACAAGCGAGTCATGGGCGAGGACAAAGTCCTGTGCGAGCGCGCCCAGAAGAACATCGAGGCAGGCATCTTCGTCAACGGCGAGCTTCACCCACACATGGAGAAGGGACCTCTCTTCTTCCAGAAGAGATGCCGCGAGATTGTCATGGAGCACGGTATGAAGGAGAAGAAGGCTGGTCAGAAGATCTGGCCTGCCAAGCAGCAACTCGAGCCTACAGGTACCTCAGCCATCAGCAAAGAGATGGAAGACTTCTGCGAGGGCCTTGCCTGTGGCAACGATAACGAGAAGAGCGATCTCGCTTGGTAGTCGGCAACGCAAAAATTACGACTGATGATGCATGGTTTTGGTGTTTGGAGCGTTATGGGTACTGGAGGCTTTGAACTCGTACTTTGGGATTTGTTGTTTGACAGCATTCTTTGTAATGACTCTTAGCGATGTTCGCGCGATAGCGCAGGTTTCATTCCTGATTCTCTAGATAGAATGCACTTTCTTGCCTTTACATGTCGTCCTTGCTTGCTTCTGGTGACGCGCGATAGTGGGTATGACTTTGACCCTGTCTCGTTCTTCTCTCCGCATGACGTATCATTATCTTCATCCTTCTACTTCCCCACATGAGCTTAAACACGCGTCGCAGTACCAGATCTGCATCGCCGTTAACGGACGGTTGATATCGCACGGTGTTTTGGCCCTAATCGGGAAAGAATGTGCATTGGCCAATCGGATGCAGTGGCTATCTGAGATAGCCGCTGGTCTTGAGAGCGATACGACAACAGTGATCATCCAGATACGAGCCGCTGATAGTGTGCGAGAAGGTTAAATATCGATACCGTAACGCTCTTTTGAAAGCTAGATAAAAGCATCGAAATCTTGCTCTGAAAGCTGTATTCGGGTGTTGATATAGGACCAACCTTGGGAATATCGAGCTGTCCACACTTATAATTAGATCTTTCCAACGCAGTGCACTTGATTGTTATGAAACCTAACCCAAGACCGCAATTACATACATGGTAAAGTTGAAAATGCCATGTATACAATACTGTGGCGGACAGATATCGCGGATAGGATTCATAAGTCACGTGTTCTATGACGTCAGTTGAGCACCATATACGCCCCGTTGACACGCAGGACGTGTTGGAGCAGTTTTACATAAAAGCAACTTGGCGCAACGTAAAGCAAACTAGGGAGTGAAGGCTTGACGTCGAAATATCGCATCACCGACGTTATACACCATGTCAGAAACGAAGCACATCGTCTTCGATATAGTCGGCACGCTTGTGTCGCACGAGCACTTCTACGCCGTCATCGACCAACGCCTTGGGTCTAAACTCCAGCCCCACAATATCTCCGCACGTCTCCTTGGTTACGCATGGCTCGAAACGGCAGAGCGTGAATATACATACCTCTCGCTTTCGGGCTCTTACGTCCCATTTGCCAAGGTTTTCGAATCCATCTTTTTCCGCGTCTTGCACTTCGCTGGAGTAGCAGAACCGCGTAGTGTGGCGAGCGAAGAAGATGTGAAGTACTTTATGCAAGAGTACAAGAAATGTGAGGTTCGGCCTGGTGCAAAGGAATGTGTGGACAAAATAAAGGAGGCTGGTTGGACAGTCTGGGCATTCACTAGCGGCGATCGCGAAAGAGTGCTGGGATACTTTGAGAAGGGCAACATCAACATCGACGGTGATCATGTCGTTACATGCGACGAGATTGGTGTAGGAAAGCCAGAAGTTCAGGCATACGAAAGGCTGAGAGGAAAGATTGGTGTTGAGAATACAGCTGGGGAGCTTTGGTTTGCCGCTGCACATGGCTGGGACGTCAGCGCTGCGGGGAGGGCTGGGTTCAAGACGGCATATTGCTTGGTGTTGGAAAAAGAGGCTTTAGAGGATGTGTTTGGAAAGATGGACATCGTTGCTGAAACGCTGCCAGCGCTTGCAGAGAAAGTGACTTCTCAATGAGAGGCAATTAGAGAAGATATCATATTTCGAATATGGTGACAACCCAGTTTCTACTGCCATTCATACTGACCAGTAGCCACAAACGAAGTTACTGCACTGCAGTTATTGCTTTCTGTTTGATATTGCGTACGGGGATAGTACATAAGAAGGAGAGAAGTTGCAATCCTGCTCAGCGGCGAACAAACCGAAAAGATTATCGCCCAAGCATTTCCTTGGTCTTAAGACATCAACTGAGCGTGCAAAGCTCGTACATTACTCCTCCGGAAGAGACTGAGGGCTATCAACGTGAATACCAAAACGACGATCGCATACATGAACATGCAAACGACCAGAAAATAGAATGGCGCTTTTCTAATCTTCGTGACCGTCATATCATAGCGCCAACGCTTTTCGATGAACGGAGCCGGATCGTAGACACCAGCCACAAGCGCCAGAAAGGTTTGGCTGAAAGCAAGCTCCATCGCGTCCAGGATCGTCGAATGAGATAGCAATACCGACATGGCAGCTTTCTCAAAGAGTTCGTAGCTACCAAAGCCAGCTTGCAGTGGTGCTTTGATCATGGCTGCGATGCTGGGAGCGGTCAATGTCGTGTTGAAGACGAGGATGCTACCATTGACAAGTGAGTACGTAACGTCGTAGACCGTAGAATTGCACGACATCGCGAATCCCACACGCCCGTCTCCGATCTCAACAACAATGCCTTCGGGTACCTGCGGGTCTCCATAGAGAATGGGGTCATTCAGATCGATACTGTCTACAACAGCTGTGACGTTGTAGCTGAATGGGTTCAATTGGGATGCGATGGAAACGTTCAGCGAAGGGTCATTGTGAAAGTCGAAGAACGTTGTGTTCCAGCCCTTGAGACGCTCTAGCCCATTTGCTGGTATCTCATTCAAGTCGCCATAGAAGCCGTTGGAGCAGTGATATGGTATCGAGGAAGCATCACTTGTAGTGTTGTAGATTCCACAGTCCGTAGTGATTGCAGTGCACTCGGTTACAACGGAAATCGTTTCGGCGACGTAATCAATACCAACTCTTTCTACATCCTGGTTTGTCAGATCTAGTTTGCTGACTTTTGGGCTATCGCTGTATTCCTCAGCTGACCATGGATTGAAGTAAAGAACGTGCTGTTCATCCGTGACATCGTCGATATGCGTGACAAGCTGGGTGTATATGAATGCGCCAGCATCCCAGGCCACATTTAGGGTGTTGAAATCCTCGTTGTTGTATTCTCCTGTTTGATTCAACAGTCCTGTCGCAAGCACTCGATATGCTGATGGAGCGTCCAAGAGTGTCCAAGGTTTGCTCGATCCATTTATTGTGCAAGGTGGAAAAGCGTCGTGATCGTAGCTACCAATGATCGTTTCATTGAATGGACATATCGCTTCATTGATCTTGAAACCGCCAAAGAACGGGGGATCGCCTGGCACATAGTTAGGGCCTGGGGACGTGCCTTCATAGACGCGCTGTAACGTTGGAGCAAGAGTTCCTGACAATACTTTGTCTATTACTGTCAGTTTCGTTCAGGGTTCTCGGTGAGCTTAACTACCTCCGACTAGCAGAAGAAATCTAATCCACAGATTAGCATATTGACATTAGGCGGACGTAAAAAGATACATACGTAAGAATTACACATAAAAAAGCGCCAATACCGGCGATCCTGGTTCCACTCGCAATCTTTGTCTTCCGAGCACGCCATAATCGAAGTACAGTCCAGTTTAGAAGGAACGTTTGGTCGCCATGTAAAAGCTTTTTCATATCTTGGTCTATTACTTCGTGTCGGTTCGACAGCTCAAGCGCTACGAGAAACGAGTAAAGTAACAGAAATGGCACGGCGGCCCACTGCGCAACGTTGGAGGCAAACGAGCTGGTAAGCGCGACTTTGTTGATTAATACCGTTGTCGTTAGGAACGATTCATCATGAGGGTCAATGGGGAGGTTTGCATTCTCTTCCGGCGGGTCCTGTATCGTCCAGGCAGGGATCGTAACGAAAAGACACAACAATGTCGCTACAAAAACCAAGGGGAAGAACACTGTTGCGAAAGCGAAAGCGATCTGGAAAAGTCTCCAAATTGAGTGCGCTCTCGTCGTCGGCTTCTCGAACTCTTCGTCACTGCAAGACATGCTGGTTGAGGTCGCCATAGCTTCCATTTCGACAAGCGATATGTTTGTTAGTCTCACATCAAATTAGCCAAACAATCAAAACACATTTTGAAGTGAACTCACCCGAAGTGAGGCCTTGTTTTGCTGTAGGTCACTCGTATACCAGAAGCTCGAGAACATTAGCGTTCTGGGAAGGTCTAAATAAATAAAGACCTGTAACCCGAATCTAGCCCCTGAGTAATGAGGCTGAGAGTCGCGGATATCATGAATTTTGGATGTGTAAGATGGCGGGGAGGCTTGTCTCCGATGTTGTTTGCCTTGTTCTAAGCGCCAGTGTGCCATTCGTCGAAAGGGATGGTGCGTAGCACAAAGACTGACCGGCTAAGTCGAGACGCAATCAAACGAGGCAACCGTTTAGAACATTGCGTGCATGAGCTGAAAGCTATCTCCGAACCTCCCACAGTTTGTAATTATTGGCTTAGAGAGTCTGCACATCGGAAATGAACTACTCGACTGCACCGATGACACCTCAAATGCAGCTTGTGTCGATATCCCCATAGGCAGGTGGACCTTTCTTGTGCATACTGCCTTGAACGTAGCTACTACCGGCTCGATGCGATCATTGGACACACGCTTTGACCAAGCCGGGGGTTTCATAGCGGTCGAGCGGGAGAGGGAAAGGTGGTGGCGGGGATCAGGATAGCTTTGACTCGAGACGTAGTGAGTTGAGATCCTCTTTGCTGTCTTGACCGCCGTGGTTGGTCAACTGTTGAAGGCGCACAGCTGTTGATGGAGGGTCAAACATCAATGTGGTTGCCGGAAAGTAACAGTGGTCATCTGGCAGTGTCACATTTGCGGACTTCCAGTGGCAATCTCTCACACCAAAGTGAGTATTATCATAAGAACCGGTGGTTTAATTGTAAGCTACGTTTGCTCGACTCAGCTCAAGTCGTCTTCGAATGTGCCACATTGGTTGGTTTCTGCTTCCTATTGCCGTCCTGTTGTGCTCAGGAACTCGTTCCTGAAGGTAGTATTCCACATAGTGGTTCTTTTTGGCGAATGGGTAGACAACTGTTGGATGAAATGCTACAGTGTAGTTCACCCTCAATGTGGAGGAATCGCTGGCTTTGGAAGCGCGTGACGCGTAACCTGGTCAGAGATACACAAATACCTTTGCATCGACATATATCGGTGGGCAAGGACAGTTTCTGGGATCTGCGCACGACATATATCTTCAATGAACTCTGACGATGCTACGACCCAAGTGCAGCTCGAATTCGACGTATGTTGGTAGAATTGCGTGGTGTTGAATTTAGGGTGTTATTGGTTCGGCCACGCGTTTCGGAAGGATGGTGGGGCTGGGCGGGCGCTGCCGCCAGGATCGCCCGTAGCCCGCCATATCAGCGAGTTCTGTTGTCAACACGATCACAAAACAGACAATTTCGCGCGGAGCGAAGAACTAGACGTCGCATGTCGCATCGGAAGCTGATTTGAGTTCCGTATATCCTTGGGCAGAGAGATGCTCTACCCTGGCGCTGAAACCGTACTACGCAATGCTGCGTGCGTGCCTACCCGACAGACCCCGAGGTCTCTACCAGCTGCGTTTGATATCATCCGCAATCTTCTCAGCCAACGCGTATACCGTACTCTGATTGGAGGTTAGTGTGACACTGACGAAGCGACAGGAGATAACATACCTGAGGATGTCCAGGAGGTAGTAGGGCAAACGAGCTCGCATCTACAACCCTCAACCCTGTCACACCAATAACCCTCGCCTTGCTATCCACAACTGCATCAGGGTCATCAACTTTTCCCATCTTGCATGTGCAAGACGCATGCCACACAGTCATCAACTGCTCTTGTCAGTATATGCGGTGAAACGAATACAAAGTAGACCTACTGTATCACGGATGGTATTGAGGATCTGTTCGTCAGTCTGAACGTTAGGACCAGGGAAATACTCCTTCGTATCTGCAAGTCCGCGCTTCATGGCATCCGTAGCAAAAGCTTGGCGTGTGCGCTTGTAGATGGCGATGGCGACAGATTGATCGGTAGGATCGGTCAACCAGCCAGGGTCGATCGAAGGGAGCTGGGCTGTGCTGGAGCTCGTGATGGTAACCGAACCACGAGAGAGGGGGGCCACGATAGCACCAAGGATGGATGCGTATTGGTAACCATCCTTTGGCTGAGTCGCGAAGAGATTGGAGAAATCTCCGATATAGCCAGGCGCAGAAAGGTACTCGATATCAGGCCAAGAAGCAGGGTACTGATCTAGTACCGCGGCAGCTTCTGAAGAGATGAGGTTTCGAGGAGCCTTTTCCCAGCCTAGGAAGTCACAGACGGGGTTGGTAAGTGGACCTTTCTTGAGTAGGCCGTAGTCGAATGCGAATTGGGCGCCGACGTAAAGAAGGTCGTTGGCTAGTTTGGTCAATGTCTGGACCTTGTAGCGGTAGGTGGGGCCGAAGAAGATGTGGTCTTGCATGTTTTGACCAACACCACGACGGTCAGCAATGACGGGAATGTTAAACTTCGTCAGCTGTGCGGCAGGACCAATACCAGAGACCATGAGCAGTTGGGGAGATTGGAAAGCACCAGCGGAGAGAATAACTTCTCGCTTCGCGGTAAGGATGGAGCCAAAGGGTAGCTGAACACCCGTGGCACGCTTCTCACTATCGAAGATAATCTTCTCAGCTCGTGTCAAAGAGTACACTTTGAGATTAGGACGGTTCTTAGCAGCCTCAAGGAACGCTGTTTGACTCGAAGCTCGCTTCTGATTACCAGGCGTGATCGTGGAGCTGCAGTACTGCGCTCCCATGAGTTCTCCGGAGTTGAAGTCGGGTCTGGTTGGGATGCCGATGCCATTCATGCCACCTTCCATGTAGCTTGAGAAAGGGCCCGCATAATTCGCATAGGACACATCGAGCGGTCCGCCGCTGGCATCGAAAGCACTTGCGACATATTCGGCCGACCCATTGCTTGCACGAAGCTGGGTGTTGGGTGGCGTGAACTTGATCGACTTCTTGAAATAAGGCATGAGGTTGTCGAAAGTGTACGAGTCGTCGCCGATTTGATCTGCCCAACGCTGGTAGGAGCCACGGTCGCCCCGCTGATAGATCATGAAATTTCGCGCCGAGCTTCACACATTAGTGGCTATGTCTTTGTCCAAACCCGAGTCTTGAAGCTTACCTTCCACCCAGACATTTTCCGCGGGCATACTTGATCTTCCTACCATTCGCACCTGCTTGAGGGGCTGTGATGAAATTCCAGTCCACAAGAAGGTTCTGATCCAAAGGGCTAGAGCCTGCCCACAAAACATCTCCAGCTGGAGTCGACGACAAAAGTGGATTCGTAACCTGATAGAGACCACCAGCCTCGATCACAGCGACTTTCATGGTGCTATCTTCGGACAAACGATTCGCAAGTGTAAGACCTGCGGTGCCACCCTGTATTGCGCATTAGCGCAACTACTCCTCTGCAAAGTAGCGCGATATATGGTGGAAACAACGTACGCCAACGATGACATAGTCGAACTCTGCGCTCTGTCTCTTCTCATGTTCCGCGACCGGTACAGCAGAGACTATAGCAACGGCCAAATAAACGAGTGACAATGAGCTACGCATGATGGGCAGCGCTGGAAGGCCAAGGTAAGGAGAGATCCTGGTGATACTCTACCAAACTCGGGTCATCATGGTTACCTATATACATGCTTCTTTTGTCCCAAGGCCTGGGCATTCCTAGTGGTATTCCCACTGACGGATTCACCCATAGGTTTTGATTTGTTCGGAATCCTGGGCAAAAAGTTCGCATCGAGAGTTTGGGAACTGTGATACCCCGAACCCGGTCTGCGGGCAGGGAGTTAAACGCGAACGGACGCAATTAGGTCTAGCCATGGATGGCTAGCCATCTCGCAGGAGACTCGCCAGAAAAGGTTCTACTATCGGAGTGAACCGAGGAATTCCAGCTACATATGAAACATTGGCTTCTTGGTAGCAATCGTACAGCCCACAGTCAGTCGCTTAAAGAGTGCATTATTGTCCTGAGCCGAAAATTATAGTTTATTTGGAGGCTTCAGGCATAAGGGGTGATGCCTGATCGGGAAGTTTCCGCATGATGACTTAGCCACAAGTCCGAGCGCAGACCAGACAAACACCTGAGGTCGGAAGAAGATTACGTTCTGAAGTATCTGCTTTGTTCTGAACGTCGCGCTGAAGTCTCAACGGAGGAGGTTCTCGCTAGGATATGATGGTTTTCGTCTTACAGAGAGGGTTCCAATGACGTCATTGGCATTCGCACGTTAGCTATCTGGGCCAAATCCAACGGGCATAGCTGTGCAATAGCTTCTAAAGAACGTTTGGCACTACCAGTAACACGAGTTCCAACGTGCTCGCGTTGCCTTACCATGTCGTTGTTGGAATCTAGACAACACCCAGCCAAGCCGCTTGCGCAGGAGATCCATTAGTGTCTGCCCGTGCATACGGGAGACCCGGAATATCATTGCTAGCGATCTGAAAACCAGGTTGTAGAGGGGTTTGTAATGGCTATCGGTTTAACGACCCTCTCTTCGACCTCGGTCCTATTTGGCAATCTCGTCTCTTCACTCACAAGTCTACCCAATCTTGGAAATCCTGCGTCGCTGCACGCGATCGATCATTTGC